AGAAAGGAGGTTGACTTCTGGTGGGGAAATATGGAAGAATTTCACATAGAAACATCTGAGCTAGAACCCACAGAAGAGAAGTGGGATCAAGGAATTGAGGGCTGAGTGGACCCTCAGCAAGACAATTTCAGGGGGACAAGTAGCCCTGCAAGTTGTCAGCCAGGGAGGTGCAGGGAGAAGTGTCATCAGAAATATGACCAGGGCCCTTTCACAAAGACCTCAATTGCAGACCTTGGAGTCTAGAGAGTAGAAAGGCTGAATGTGTTTAAAGGGTAGAGAGACATGAGTCACCCCATACTGAAGCTACAGCGCAATGGTTTCTCCTTAAATTCATGACCCAAGTCTTTATGGAAAACGTTCCTCAGCCCTAAGAGAAGAGAAGACCACAGAAACAGTCTGTCTTCTTCTTCTGCATGAACAGATGCCCCATGTAATATCTTAAATTGCTGCAGCCATCTGACTCTAGCCTAGGGAGGGAGAGTGGAAAGAGGGAAGGAACGAAGTCTCTGAGGACATGAATATGCCACTGAATGGGTTCACCCTGAAAAGGACCCTCCGGTGTTAGAGTTCAAAACACCCTCTCTTACGCCTACACTGTTCTCAAGTTACAGCCATTCCTTGCTGTCCTCAGGGTAAAACTCAGAAGCATCACCTCTACTCCCTCACCTTTCATTCCTGCTTCAACTTACTTCTGCCCCACCCATTCATTAAAACTGCTCTCGTCAAGTCCCCAACAACCTCCCTGTCGCCACATCCAGTGAGCTCATCTTCTTGCTACTTGGTCTCTCAATAGCTTTTCTCCCAGCTTCCAAAGCCCTCCCACCTCACTGGCTGTCACTCCTCAGCATCTTTCTCCAGTTCAGTGTGGTCCCTTGCTCTGAAGCAGCAGCATCACCTAGGAACTTGATAGAAATGCAAACTCTTGGACCCCATCCCAGACCTACTGGATGAGAATCTCTGGATGGGGCACAGCAATCTCTGTTTCATAAAGTCCTCCAGATGATGCACACTAAAGATTGAGAACTGCTGATTTAAAACTGTGTGCATGCCCCTCGTGATTAAATTCTGATTCCTTCATTTTTTTCTGGCTACACTTTCTCTCTTGATGGTATTGTCTAAACCCACAACTTTGAAAATCACCTATATTCTGACAACTTCTAAATGCATCTTCAATACCCATCTGGAGGTTACACAGGCATTGCAAATTCAGCAAGTCCAAATGGAAGGAATTCTTGATGTTCCCTCTAAAATTTGGTCCTCCGCTTTTTTGAATCATTTAAGAAAACAACTTCACCATCTTCCCCACCCCCACCTTCAGTGCTCACACACCTATAGTCCCAACTACTCAGGAAGCTAAGGCAGGAGGATTACTAGAGCCCAGGAGTTTGAGGAAGTAAGCTATGATCACACCACTGCACTCCAGCCTGGGGGACAGAGTGAGATCCCCAACTCAAGAAGCAAACAAATAAATAAATAAAGCATAACCTTTTAAAAAGAAAAAAAAAGTCTTAGAGTCATCCATGGTCCTGCTTTTTCCTGACTCCTGACCTCATTGGCAATAGCCCATTGAGTAAGTCCACCTCTAAATTCTGTCTTGAATCCACCCTCTGTCACCACCATGGATCAAGTCACCATTTCCTCTTCCTTGGACCACTGCAGAAACCACAGCTCTGGTCCTGCTCACTCCCACACAACAACCAGAGTTGTTTTTAAGAAGGTAAATCAGGCCTTGTCATTCCTTCCAAACCATCAGGGGCTTCCTATCACATTCCATTAAAACCCAAACATGGGCCCTGTGTGACCTGGCCACTTTCTGTATGCCTTCCTGTATCCCTGTTGATATCTGAGGTTAGAGACTATAACTATTTAATTCATACTAGGTGCTCAATAAATTATTTGTTGAAGGAAATAATTCTCCTTTTGGGAATAAGATAAATTTAGAGTTTGACTTCTTTAGCATCTCCTTATTTACTAAGGAGGATCTATATGATGTTAAGTAACTTTGAGCTAGGGAACAGGAGATGTGAAGAGAAACTTCCAAAGATATGACTTGATGGTACTATGAATCTCAGCATAATAGGTGCCCCCAGGGCTACCAGATGAAACCTCAGAGGACAAATTCTAAACCCCACTCCCTGCTCAGTTCAGAAAATGACCTTCACTGTTCATAATGGACATGAGTGGTTGTGGTAATGAGACTGCCAATTAGAGATGTGATTGGAATGAAGAGTAATGTAGGGCCACTTACAAAAGCCTCCTCCTACAGGTTGCCCTCCACTAGTGCTGTTCATGAGGCCAATGAAAACTCTTAACTCTACAGGATGGCCCACCAACTCTAACGTAACAGTTTTTAAAAATTCTTTGACACGCCTCCCACTGAGAAGTGGAGTCTATGTCCCCTCCCTCGAATCTGGATGGGTATACAACTACTTTGGTCAAAAGCATACCATGGAAGTGATGCTAACGTGACTTCTGAGTCTGGGTAGGAAGTGGCAATGCAGCTTCCATCATGTTTGCTGAAACTTTCAAGCGTGAAGTCCTGAGGCATCCCATAAGAAGGTCATCTAAACTGAGACCACCATGCTGTGAGGAAGCCAGGCCCATGGAGAAGCCACAGGTAGGTGCCCTGGTTGGCACACCTGATCTTCAAGTCCTCCCAGGCAAGTTGCCACTCAGGCAAGTGAATGAGCCTTTAGATGATTCCAACCCCTATCTATCAAGGCATCCCCAGACTTTGAGTTTTCCCAACTATACCTCAAGCATCATGGGACAGAATTAAGCTCCCACTGTTATGTCGAACTCCTTCAGCACAATAAAATGGTGTTGTTTTAAACACTAAGTTCTGGGGTAGTTGCAACATACCACTAATAACCAGAATAGGACATAAGGCAATCCCTTCTGGTTCCCTAATCCCCAGCCCCAAAAAATCCCAGCCTTGGGAGACTTTTCTGGGTCAGGAGAAAGCACGAGGCCAGTGTACATGATTCTCTGGAGGAAACTCTAGGTTTTGGCGCCTCCTAACAAAGCTTTACAGGACCCCTCTGCCAGAAGAAAGCAGTCCCTTGCCTAGAATGTTCTCAACCATTACCAATCCCACCCTGATGCCAGGTAGGGTGCGGCACAATACCCAGGAATTCTTTGGTTCATTTCTAAAATGAATTTTAGAGTAGCCAGCAAAATTTTAAAGCAAAGTTTATTAGAGAAAGAACGGAAAAAAGAAAGGAATACATGCAAGAGCTGGCATGGATGAAAGAAACTGTACCTTTTTCTCTTTACAATAGGCCTGATATACCTTCACAATGGCTGACATGCTAAAGAGGGTGGAGACCAGGTAACTGCCACTCTGTTTGACACCTCTGGTCTTCTGATGGGAGGAGAAGAGGGGTGGTCTTTTCCTGGCGACATTGTCTTTTGCAGAAGACCTCAAGTTCCTGAACTAAAAAGTGGGTCTTACTGTCATTTCTACAGCTTTGGTCAGTTAAGTGGTGGCATTTGGCCTTCAGCCTTCAACAGGGAGCCTGAAAGTTTCTTGGTGATTATTAAGCTAAACCATGAATTTGAAGGTTAGGCTGTCCTAGTCTTCCATTTGATGGGATTTTGTTTTAATTTGCTGAGGGGATGGGGTAGGCTGCCAGGTTAGCCTGCAGTAAAATGTAATTTTAAAATGTCTGAATGCTTCGTAAAACCTGCCTATGGGAAATTTATGTATCTATATCTAAGCTGTACTAGCTACCCTGCCTCACCTGGAGTCAGTCCTCCACACAGCTCGAGATCTTCTTGGAAACTCAAAGTGATGTTTCACAGCCCAAGTTCATCTTCTCATGAGCCATCTCTGAGGAAAAGAGGCAAGGTCTGAATGCACTGTTATGGTAAGCGTTGTATAAGATTGACAGGCTGTACAACAAACAGCATTATAGCCTAGTGCTCATTATCACTGGCTGCAATCCAGTCCCCCTGTGATAGGGAAAGGGAATCAGCTCCATCCAAAGACCAGACTGTCAAGGCCTATCTCATTGCCTTTTCCCACAAACCCTTCAAGTGCCCACCAATGGTCATGTCCTATTGCCACGCCCCCTCCCCCATATGCTCTCCTGGCCCTCTTCTGCGCATTCCCCTGGCTTCTCCCGGCTCCTCCACTCGTCTCCTCCCACTTGAGTAATCCATCCTGAGACACAAATATTTAATCTAATACTGTTTCCAATGGAGTGGCAACATGCTTAAACCTCTTTTCTTAGGTGCTTCCTAAGCCTCTCACCCACAGCAAGGGAACTAGATGTCCTGTTTTCCCGAGGACAGGCCTGGTTTATGCCCCTTTCACTCTCAAAAGTGCCCGATTTGGGTAATACTTGATACGATCCCCCTCACTGTAACTCCTGTTCTATCATTTCATCCCTGGCCTTCCTTGAAATGAGACAAACCCCAGCCTCATTTGTCAGCAGGAATCACAAAAGAACACCCCACTCTGTTTCATACAACACATCTCAGGTAATGTACAGAGTAGGCTTATTACCACAGTCCATTTTTCTCGTTTGTCAATTCGCAATCTAAATAATCTCTTTTACCTAAAACAGGGAGCAGAAAGTGAACGAATGAAGGAACAGATGATGACCAGTGTCATTTCTAGGCCTCCAATTTTAAGGGTTTATGTAAAAATTCATAAATATTGGGCTCAATCAAGGCTAACAATGCTTTCCCCCCCCCGGAAATTCCTGGCTACCAAAGTTCCAGAAATTGCTTTCTCATTCCCGAACCTTTCATTTTCTCGAGTTCCTTATGTAACGGGGAGCGGGGGCTTTGGGCCGAACTTCCCATTAAAGATGACGTTTATAGTCAATGAGCAGCGTCAGGGAGCGAGGGCGCCGGAGGCGGTATCAACCGATGCGGTGTCTCAGCGAATCTCGACTCCTTTTTCCGGTGACGCATCCACAGCCGGGCTTGAGAGCGCCGCATCCCTTAAGGCACACCTCGGCCCGCAGCGCGGCGGCGGCACCCGAGCGCGCCTGACGCCGCGCGCTAATTGGCCCGCACAGGCCCCGCCCGCGAGCGCGGCCGCCTCCTTTCCCCGCCCCGCGTCCCTCCCCCTCAGTCCGGAGCGTCGCCAGCTCTCCGCGCCAGTCGCTGACAGCCGCGGCGCTGCGAGCTTCTCCTCCCCTGCTCCGAGGGGCAGGTAAACACCCCGTGGGGGCCGTGGGCGGGCGTCGCGAGCACGGGGTGCGGCGAGGGAGACTCGGAGGCCGACGGTGAGGACCCTGGTCCTCCGGGTCCCGGCGCGAGGATCGGATCTGGCAGAGGGGGGACTGGGGGCTTCCCCGCGGCGCGGGGCGCGCCTGGGGCCTGCCGGGCTCTCCTCGGTGGCGCCGCTTGGCTTCGTTCTTCGGGTTAGGAAAGCTCCCTTTATCCGGAGGGGGGGTGGGGGGCTGGCCGGGCC